AGGGAGGTGGTTGAGTCCCCATCCCTGGATGTGTTTAAGAATAGGGTGGATGATCTACTTAGGGATATGGTTTAATGGGGATTAGGGACAGTTGGACTCGATGATCTCTAAGGTCTTTTCCAACCTAGAAATCTATGAATCTATGAGTAGCTCACTACTGTCTCTTCTAACAAGGGAGAGAAGGAGGTGTAGGGAGGTTGGCTAGTTCCCATTCTATGATTCTACAAGAACAATCCATCGACACATATTTTCTTAGTGAAACCTCATCTATTCCAGAGTTCAGAAGCCAGATGCATTATGGATGGGCAGATAAGTGTTCTAAGGCTGTATTTATTACAAAAATAATAACATAGCTGTATTATCTATTTAAAAAGTATAATCGTTTACTAATATAGACAGGAGAGGAATAAAAATGAAAATCATTAATAATCTAATATTTTTTCCCTAGAAGGAATTGCAATAAAATATGCTAATGAAAACTTGTGAGTTACCTACAAAAATCCACACACTTTTTTTTATTTTAATCTTGAGTCAGACTTGCTTGAATAACGTATGCTCTTTCTTCATACAAAGTTAAGATTCTCTGTAATTTTATGGTCATTTTTACCTGCTGCATGTGGCCCAATACATTTTTTCGACAGTCAAACACTCCTTTTCCTTCTTCAGAATACAGCTGATAAATGAAGTCAGTTGTGTAGTTCTCATTGCAGTTCTCATTTCTAGAACAATTAAGGCCAGAGTTAACAAATGTACTCTTAAGTCATGGATGTCTTTACAGATACTGAATGCCAAATGTTTTCCTATTTTCCTGACACCAGTAATTATAGCTTAGGTATTTTCTTCTAATCGCTTATGTTCACTTTCATGTAACACGCTCACGATTTTGAAGTCTGCATTACTTTTACTACACTGACATCACTGTCGGGTCACTTGCAGTCCATTGTTGAACAAGGTAGTCAAAAATACCATTTTAGGTCTGACAAGTTCACTATGCAGAGGAAAAACTGCATTAAAACAAAGAGTCATTGACATCCAGTATCATCCTTTTGCCCTTTATAAAAGCACAGCCAGTGAACAGTACCTTTGCCTGTTCCTTACTGATATTGCAAATGTAGGATATTTTTTCACCCCAGTCATAAAACTAGTAGAACTTGAACAAATATAATGGCATCCTCATACAATTTATTGTGGTATTAATTTTTCAGCCCTTCACTACTGGGTATACTGAAAATAAATGCTCAAGAGAGAAGCTACAGCCTGATTCATGCTGCCTAAGAATGCATAATTTTAAAACATGCTAATCAACATATTTAAAATGTTTTGACTCTTGACAGGTATTTTATTCTGTGTTATCTCCTAAAATCTAAGTAGGATTTTCATAGTAAAAGCCGTATTCTATGTGTACACATATATACTAGTTTTCACACCATCTTTAGTAAGAAAGAATCTACAATAAAATACAAAGCTAATGAGAAAATATGATAAAATACTAGAGTGTAAAGCAAATATATTTACATAGAAAGAAGGAAGTGTTGGACTTGAGCATCCAGACAGCTCCCAGCGTTCTCGAGCTACAGCTTTAGTAAAAATCTCATGCTAAAGGAATGATCAAGGAATGTAGACTCAGAGTTGTCTTTGCAAGTGGCCTACTTGTGCTCAGCATCACTGATGTCATCCATTAAACCACTTTTGCTTACCTCAGCACTAGACCACGCTGGATACTGGTTTTCATTTTTTCAGTCAAGTGTTCCACGTTAGCCTAGAAACAATAAAAGTATTTTTAACAAGCCATACAGAATTGTAGAACAACTTTAATGAGCCTACATTTACTGAGAACTTCTGTAAAGTATTCCACATCAAGTATTAAGTACAAATTCAAATAATCTGCAGGTTTTGGGAGATCCGGGATAACATACTGTGTATGGCTATTTATCTTGGTTTAAAACTAACTTCTTCCTCTGTATCACAATTAATTGATTTTAATAGCAACACAAAGGGTTTTTTTGTATGCTATACTGGTGCTGCACCAAGCTGGACAATGCCGATATACATAAAAATACAGAAATTGCAACAAAAGATCCTATCTTGCCCTTACTCCCCATGCTTGCAAAAGTCCTGTTACGGACACAATGATGTACTGCTCTGCTGGTACTCCCATATATTACATGAAGAATTCAAGCCACTGAGAAATGAGTGAGGAGGAATTATAAATCATTTCACACTTCTTTTCCTTTCAGGAAATTTCTGTCTGTTTAGCTTTATAATTGTCCATGACCGCAGCTAGCATCTACTATCTCGGAAGAGTAAAATCCTCATCGCAGACAAGTCCCATACCAACTTACACCCTAATCTGTTATCCTTACAGCCCAAGATCTTTATTTTAGTAACACCTCCAAATATGGTCTGAATAGTTGCAGTATCAAAGTCAGTATCTAACACACCTTGCACACTGTTCAACTCCTGACATGAATAGCCATCTAACACAATGGAAAAGGTATTCCTTTTTTTTTTTCCCCCGTTTTTGTTTTTCTTCTAAAACTGCCCAGGTCCATTCATTCACATGTAATTTCAATCAGAAATCTAAATCAGAAGAATGAAAATGAAACAACTCACCTAGTAGTGTCAAATCACTAATAAAATAATTTTGTCAGTTAACTGAATCTGATGCCAAGAATAACTGGGTATATGTTCCTTTATATAACATGGCATAACTGGCATTATATGAAAGTGCTACAACAAATGGAGCTTTGAGATACAATCTAAACATTTGGGTTGTTTGTAATGTGACCCACCTACTTCAAATATACACATGATGCTATATATGTAAAACAATTTTAGGATCTACTGAAAAATGAGGAAAACATTTCTAATGCTGTGTACCTGGAGCTCTCGAATGTCAAACTGTTCTTCAAAGATATAGG